ATATATATATATATATATATATATATATATATATATATTAAATAAAAAATAAAAATTTAAATAAAAAAATTTAAATTAAAAAAAAATATTTTTTTCATCTTAATTAAGAGTGAAAGTTTTCGACTCAAAACGATGATACGATTCAAATTTGATACGAATTTTATGACACGAACTTGATTGTAATTCAACATGAACTTGAAAATGACTTGACATGCAAACAAAAAATATAAAAGACTCATAATTTTATGACTCAACACGAATCTGACAAGACACCACTCGATTGTCTTCTCTTAGCCAGCACAAAAAAAAAATTAATCAATTTTAATTTTCATCCATCCAAACAAACACAAAAGAAGGAAAATGTATGATTCCTACTTGCTATCATTGAAGGATAGAAAATATATCTCTCTTACTTTCTATCCTTCCTATTAAACGGAACATTAAGATTCTGACTTATTTTATTATTTATGACATGATTTGAAGTTAATTTATTAGATTCTGGTTGATAATGGGAATGATGCTATATATTGATCATGCACATGAGAGAGAAGGTAAAACTCCAAACCTTGGTACCTCCTCCATGGCAACATCTCAACCTCTTGTTCCTCTTCTCAAGCAATTGGAAGCAGATGAATTGGGCCCAGAATGCAGGGACTTCCTGTCCTTGCTACCAAAAGTATGGTGTGACCGTGTGATGTAACCTATCTCTATCAGTATGAAGGTTTTTGGCAACCAAGCATGATAATGTGTACTCGAATGTCAACGAAACTTTAAAGCTCAGGATACTGACATCCTTCTAGTGACAAATCCCAAGTCAGGCACAACTTGGCTGAAGGCGATAGTGTTTTCCCTACTGAATCGAACGCGTTTTCCAGACACCCAACACCACCCTTTACTCACTAGTGCTCCTCACACTCTCGTGCCATTCTTGGAAGTTGAGGTCTATAACAAAGAAGTGCTCCCTGATTTAACCCCCTTTACTCCTCCAAGGCTCTTTTCAACTCATTTACCCGTCGTCTCTCCAATGCATTAGGGACCTTATTTGAAAACTTAATTTGAGGATTTAATAATATGACTTCAATACAACCAACCATTAGATTAGTTATGAGTTCCAATATTAAATGGAGCCCACAATTAATCTAATGGTTATATTAAATTAGATCTCTAGATCAGATCAGGTCCAGGTCCAAATAGCATTTCCCTATTATAATTGTAAATGGAAGGTAGTTGCTATCATGGTAGTCTAAGTCAATAGCGACATAAAATAATCAATCGTTATCAATAATGCATCTATACTCGAAAAAATGAAGAAGAGATGCCCACATCAGAGGAGGACGTGAAAATCAATCTTTACTAACAGATAACCTCTTAGTATAAATGATTGTAACCTTATCTCTACTAATAGTAACATAACCTTAACATCAAGTGATTATAATCTCACATTCAAAAGTGATAATTTTACTGTAATTGTTAGTATTTTTTTTGTTTCTAAATATTTGTCGTTTAAAATTTTTGTACAGAGATTAAAAAAGTTATTAAATAGCTTTAATATGAGTAAACAATAATTACACAAGACTAAAATATTCTTATTCAATACGTATTGAGAAGGAAAGAAATGTGAAAGGTACTTAGACTCCACAAAATCTAATAAATTGAAAAGTTAAAAATAAATTTGGAAGAAAAAATATTAATTATACTTTAATTTCATTAAACGATAGATATTATGAAATAAAAAAAATTCTATAAAACTACAAATATTTAAGACTTCTAATAACTTGTATTCCCAATATTACGTGGAGTATTGACTTAAATTTGTCTTGTACACAAACTCTTGGACATCTCCTTCACGTGGAAGACTATTGGCTTAAAATACTAAGTTGAGACCACTTGGAATAAGTTGGAAAAGTCGTACACGTGATAGAGTTTTAATAGTTATTTTTTCTTTGAAGATGCAATACCCAAATTAGATGCGGTTATCGATAAATCTTTGGTCCAACGATACTTATTATCTTATAAAAATTTTATTTTTTTGAGATCAAAGGTCCAAGCCATCTTCCCCTCCCACTCTCGCTCCCAAAAAAAAAAGTTGGATGGGATTTGTCTTTTTCCCGTAGCATTATCAAGGTTTTGAATTTGATCTTCTTCAACAACTCGGTAAAACGACGACACCAAAAGTGATAAAATTGGGATTTCACTCTCTATCTTGTTTTGGGTCCTCTTGGAGAAAATTAATCTTGGTGGAGAGAGAATTTTTTGGGCATTATTTATTTATTATAATAGTGTGATAGGAGTTATGATGTTCTCTTTTGTTGCTTTTGTTTATGGAGAACGATCTTTGTAATCTACAATGTTTCAATGGTGAAATTTTGTCGCCGTGTTTCGTTCATGGACATAAACTTACTTGTTGAATTGAACCACGTAAATTTTTGTATCTTATTTTTTTATTTCGTAATACTATTATTTTGTTTGTGGTTTTGATTCATAACAATTATTAAGGGAGTCAAAATATGACACGATCAATTAACATGACAAGAACACAACACAATAAGTGGACAATTGAGTCGCACACAATTAATTAACTACCCATCTATATCATATAATAATTATTTTATGTACAGAAAACCAAGCTAAAAGTTGCCTCAATGTTTATCTTTTGGATTAAAAGTGCAGAAGCGGTGGGGTAATTGTAATTTGTTAGAAAATAATGATAGTTTTAAGATTTCGTATTAATATAAAAAACGTATCTTAATCTTATACTTATCATATATTTTTTATATAATAAACATATATTATGGAGGTATTTTAATATTACCAAGAGAGGTGGTATTATAATCTAACTCAAATGTGTTAATCCAGAAATCAAGAATTAAAATTTTATTTCGATATATAGTTTCATGGTGGTCGGTAATTGAAATATTTTTCAAACTTTTTGGAAAAAAATAATAAAAACAAGAAAAATTTGACAATTTATCTTCAAAATATTGATCGAAACATATCAAACATCTCAAAATATTTTCAAAAACCTTAAAATACTTAAAATATATATGACTAGTTATTACTCATGTCTAAATGTACTGTACAATAAAAAAGAATGTTTAAACCTAACAATATCAACGAACAACATTCAAGTTTTCTACCAAAAAAAACTGTAACTCTAATCAATACACATTAATACGAAAAATCAACAATCACTTCTTGAATTTTTTGTTAATACCCATGCCTAAAATTATTGTCTCACAAAAAAAAAATAATAATTAAAAAAAATGATCATCAGGAAGAGGTTGCTAGGCCTAACAAACAAAAAACTTTGGGTAGAATTTTCTTCAAGGATAAGAACCCATGAATCATACAACAAATGCCTATAATGTATTAGAGACCACAAATTTAAAAAGTAAACGAATAACAACAAAATAATGCGACCCAATCTCTTTCAACACCAATGGCTTTGACTCATTTCTTTCATGGAATGGTAGCATTTACACCTACAAACCTATATTGAGTGTACAACCTAGACATAAGATAATGAACCAAATCAAATTAGTTTTACGCAATCACCGAATGATGTTATACTTTACCACCAACGGTGAGCCAATAGTCCAAAGGGCTATGTCCTATGATTGAACTCGTCAAATCCCTTGATAAAATCATATAAAATCCAATTCTCCAATTTTTTCAAATCACTCATGATTCCATACTTGATATTTCTTGATAACAAGCTAGGCACTACTTGATACATCTTATCTATCACACACCCCGCAGGGTTACAATCACATCTTGCTATCATTATAATATCACCGAATGATAAAAAGAAAATATCTTTTGAGATAAAAAAAAATAATCAATTGTACTGACCTTGAGTTAACAAGAGGCACTTTTAACTTTCCATAAGGCCTAGAATTATTGGTCTTAGTTACATATATGGATCAAAAAAATATTTTTGGGACCCCAGACAGCCACCTTAATGGCCTAGCCCTAGGGCCAGCCCTACGATGAAAATCATAATATAAACTCTTTGCAAAGAGATTTAGACACACGCGCACATTAAGAAATAAACCACTTATTTAAAATTCAATCAACTGCCGATGAATGTAAGAATCTCATTGCCCGCAATGCCACATGAAATTTCATTTCAATCGAACCACATTTTACCGTATGATTGCTTGAACAAACCCCAACTGTAAAAATAATTATATATTTTAACTATAGATTTATAATTAGAATTAATAAAAATTGCAATTAAACTTTTGGCCATATCAACAATTATTGGAATCATGATGTAAACAATATAATCATGAGTGTAGTAATCTAAAATTCCAAATAAAGCATTCAAAAAATAGTTAGATCATATAACATGCAATTTAAATAAATAAATACAGAAAATGTATAAACATGCGATCTATATAAACTAAATAAATTAATTTGGAATGAGTTGGCCTGCGAGTTTGGGAGGTGTGTGATCACTGTCTTAAAGTAGCTGAGGCTCCCCACATGAGGGTACTGACGGACACCAGTGACTCCAAGATTCAACTCAAACGCTCGCAGCAGCACCTTCTCAATGGTCACGTCCACTGGAAGAAAAGAGTGAACTTGACACTGATCGAGTTGCCCAAAGCACAAAAAAATATGATATGCTTGTAGTTGAAATGGATTTGACAAAAACTGGACAATTAGAAAACTCAACAAAACTTGAAAAGATAGGTGACAAAGCTAGAAAAGTTTTATAGGGAAAACTTTGGAAATTCAAGAATGAATTTCAGTCTATATGTTTTTTAGAATATCTCCACCAAATGATTTATATAGGCACAAAAATAACTCATTAGTAAATTCTAGGTCTAAATGGAATTTACTAGTCAACTTAAAAGACATTTAACAATATTACCGTTATGTATTAAATGGGTCATTTGTATTGCCACTAAAGTTGTGTAACATTTGAAATAAAATTTGTAATTACTAAAAATTAAAGTGGATTAAAAGTTTTAAAAACTTAACTTATTCTTACAATCCCCCACAAGTTTTTGAAACTTCAAAATATCTCAAATATTTTGTATATACTTTAATATAGAAAATATGAACAACTATTATACTGTGCAATAGATGTAGGTGTCTTCCGGACTTGAACCTCACTTAGTGTTAATAATTTTCCTCTGAAGGATCATAGTGACCAAAGGCTTGAACTAAATCTTTTGGACCAGAGTTCAACATGTCACACACATAGTACCGATATTAGTCAAGATTCGCGGGTTAGTGTTATTAATGGTCTTGCACTTGATCTTGATTCTCATGAGAGTTTCTAGAGAATAGCCCAATTCTCATAGTCACGGTGGCCTTACAAGTACTCTTATTTATGTGAGCCTTCCAAGGGTACATGTGTACACTACCCTGTAGGAGTGTTCCTGCCTCGGTCTCATTCAGGGTAAAACCCTTCCTTACCGTTATACTACATATGCACTTTTGTCATAGGGATGATCAGGAAAATATCTCCTCTTGGATATTTTCTTAATAACAGTGCTAATGAGTCACGCAGTATGAATTGTTTCTACCCATTAAACTTCTTTCATGGGGTCCCCAATCACAGAAGTTAGGTTACCTCCCTAGGTGACTCCCTTGTGGGCTTAAGCCCACCCCCCTCGACAGTTCTGAGACAACTTTCCTCGAAAGCCTTTTAGTTAGCTGATCAGCTATATTTAGCTCAGACTTCACAAAGTCTAGTGAGATTATGCTTTTACTCAGCATTTTCTTTATTGATTTATATTTCACTTGTATATGTCTATTCATCTTTTTATTATTATGGTTTTGTTTCACAAGCTCAATCACTGCCTTAGTATCACAATGTAATGAAATAACAGGTATGAGTTTTTCCACTAGAGGTATCTTTAGTAATAAATTCTTTGTCCACTCAACCTCATCACACGTGGTATCTAAGGCTATAAGTTCCGACTTCATAGTACTTCTTGATATTAGAGTTTGTTTTTTAGATCTCCAAGATATGGTTGTTCCTTCTAACAGAAAAACATAGCCAGTAGTGGATTTTAT